AAAGTAAATTCTGTATACATGTGTACATACAGAGCTTATATGCATGGGGACAATTTGTGAAAGGATATTTAAGATCCTTCTTGAGTAGGCATGGACTTATACAAGTCTCTTATGTAAGAAACTTATTTAAGTTTACAGTCTTTGGAATTTTTGAAACGTTTTTTGATGAGTACATACTATTTTTTGTTTAAGCGAAAACCATACAAGCTAACATTTGGAAACACAGTATAAGGAGTTTGAGGGGGCAGTGTGGGCACAGATCCTGACAGGAGGAGGTAATATAAAAAAGTACCCTTCTACTCTACAAAGTTGTATGCTTTTTATAGAGATCAGTGGTCTGGTTCCATTGAAAGGAGCACAGCCTCCAAAGAGTTGAGGGTAAAGACCTCACGACACCATAAGCACTGTCCTTGCCAAGTGTCTTATGCTCCTGAGCAGCCCATCTAGGGGACAGAACCTCCAGGGAGGAATGAATGGAAGGTGTTGTCCTTACTCCAGAACATTTCCCCCAAGAAATGGGGGTATCTAAAGAACTCTGCTCATTGGGAGTCAGTATTATGCAGTGGTTGGAAGGGCAGGTTCGGGACCAAGTTGCTGGGTTCAAAATGCAGCTCTACTATGGTCAAGTTACTTAATCCTTGCCTCAGTTTCCTGACCTGTAAAATGGAGATAATGCTACCTATTTCATTTGGGGTGATGAGAACTAAATGAGTGGTTATTATGAGCAAAGAGCTTGGAGCAATGCCTGAACATAAAAAGTGCTAGAAAAATCCTTGTTGTCACTCTTGTTATTGCTATTTGCCTGGGGAGAAGTTCTGAAATGCTTTAAAAATAATGATTAAAAATTTGACTGGTCTTAACTTGTACATTTTATTTTATACATGCTGCTTTACATAGAAGATATTACTATGACAGTAAAACATAAGTGGAGTATATATGCATTTAATCACTCTTACATGCTTGGTGATTTATGGAAATATTGAAGAAATGTGGTATCCAACTTACCTTTCTTTCTTTTCTATTTAATATCTCTTTTTTCCCCCCTGGCTGCTTTTCAGATTTTCTCTTTCTTACTGGTTTTAAAGAATTTGGTTATGATTTGCCTTGGGTTTTTTTTTTCCCCCATGTTTCTTGTATTTGGATCCATTGGTCTTTTTAGATCTGTGGGGTTATGGTTTACATCAAATTTGGAAACATTTTGGTCATGATTTCTTTAACTATATTTGTCTTGTCTGCCAGCCCCAGTCTCCTATCTCTGCTCTCCTGTGGGGACTCCAATTATACATATATTGTTCTCTTTCAAGTTGCCCATAGTTTACTGATGCTCTGTTTAGCTATTTTTTAGTTTTTGTTCCCTTTCTTTCATTTGGGACAGTTTCTGTTGCTGGGTCTTTAAGCTCACTTACCTTTTATCCTGCAGTATCTAGTCTACTATAAATCCCATCCAGTTTATTTTTGTTTTAATCATAGATGTTGTTGATTTCATCAGTGGGACCCAGACTTGCTGTGTGTCTTTTTAGTATCTCCCATAGTCATGGTCACCCTTTCCTCTGGATTTTTAAATATAAGAAATTGCCTTATAATAGTGATTTTAATGCTTTCGTCTACTAATTTTATCATCTGTGTCATTTCTGGATCAGTTTCTATTGATTGGTTTTTCTTCTTATTATGAGTTGTATTTTCCTGCCTCTTTTTGATGGGATGCCAGACCCTGTGAATTTTATCTTGTTAGGTCCTAGATATTTTTATATTCCTAAAAATATTCTTCAGCTTTGTCCTGGCATATGGTTAAGTTACTTGGAAACAGTTTATACTCTTTAGGTCTTGTTTTAAGATTTTTTACACTGGACTAAAAGAGCCTTTAGTCTACTGTTAAGTTTGCCCCACTACTGAGGCAAGACCTTTCTGAGAACTCATTATGAGGTTTTCTACCCTGGCATTTGGTAACAGGCTGTTTGCCCAGTTATCTGTGAGCTCTGAGCACTCTTCTCTCTAATGTCTTCCTGTCCTTGGGTAAATTTACCCAATCCCATGTTTTGACAAGGGTTCAGCTGAATGCTGGAGGGAGACCTCTGGTAGGTAACAGGAATCCTCTCTGTGCAGCTCACTCTTGCCCAATACCCTGTCCTTGGAACTGGCTTCCCCTCACTTCCCCTCAGGGCTCTTACTGGGTAACCGTAGGGCTCAACTTTGTTTCTTTTGTCTCTCACTCTTCTTCATTTCCTCATGTCTGATGTCTTGAGAGACACCATTCCCACAGATTTTGAGTTGTTTCCGGTGGGAGGGTAAATCCGCTCCCTGTTATGCCATCTTGACCAGACATGGAAATACCCTGCTCTAGGCTTTCATTTAAAAAAAATTTTTTTAAACAGAAATTAAAGAGAAAGTCCTTGTCCACCGACTCCCAGTCTGAAATTCCGGAGAAAGCCACATTCAACTTTTTCCTGGTATTTGTGTACAGATGTTGTACCTCTCACCACCGCTCTGCCTGGGGAGACCTTCTCTGACACTATGCTGTCTGAAACCACACCCTCGTTCAGCTCTATGTCATTACCCTGCTGCCTTGTTCTCCACAGGACTTTTTTATTTCCTGACTTCATTGTATTCATTCATGTGTTTATAGTTGGCCTCCCTCACCAGATAGGATATATGCACCTCGAAGTCTGAGCTCTTGCCTCTTTTGTTCACTGCTGAATCCCCAGAGCCTAGAGCAACTCCTGAGTACGTTGTAGTCGCTCAGTAAATATCTGCTAAATAAATAAATGAATGAATGCCAGATACTGTGCTGCATGCTTTCCCAGCATCTTCTTGTGCTGTCCCTATCTTAGAGGTAGGTAATAGCTGCTCAGAGTTTGCCAGAAGAACAAAGCAGGAAAAAGATTTTTGAGGGAACGGGACAACATGTATCAGAAACTCTTAAAAAAAAAAAAAAACTGTGGAATTCAGGAAAATAAGATTTATTAAATTGGTTCCATTTCTTGCTTCACATTGTCCTGGAAATTCTGATTAACCAACTTCATTTCCAAGATATTTTCCCAGAATTTGAAAGAAGTCTGAACAGTATAAGGTTTATTGTACATTTTTGAAATGGCAACAGGATAAAAATATTAGCATGAAAATGTACCACGCAGGGTGCGTGTGTGTATGTGTACAAACCGCCCCCCTCCCTGCCACCCCCATGAATTGAGTGCCTGAAAAGTAACTGTGGAGCTTGGTAATGGAGCCATCTGGTCAATAGAAGGGCTGACATTCCACGAGGCAGCCGCTGTGTAATGTGTCTCAACTCTGGCCTTCAAGAGGGTGACCCAGTAGGTTGAGCCTTTCCGAATCTTCAGCTTTCTCCTTCTTTGGATTCTGCAGCAGAAGTGCCAATTAAAGTGGTGGGTTTTAGGATGACGCCTCATGTAACTGGACTCGGAGCATAACTTCATTTCTTTCCTGCCTTTCAGCAGATGGAAAGAACTTCTGCTCCCACATTGTCCTGATTTAACTCCGGGGCCTGACACTAAAAAGGGACTCTGTGTCCTATTAACCAAGCCCGTGTGCTGAAGCTGAGCTTCTTTTGTTTGTGTTTCTCAGGGTGTTTTCCTCCTCCTATTCCTGGCCGTATCTTTGAAGGAGAAGAATTTTCTTTGGTGAATTAGTAAACAGAATATTTTTTTAAAAAATAGTATACATACATCTGAGACTTTGAAGCATATGGATCTGTTTTTAGAAGAGACTATTTTCACTAACTGACCAAAGAAAAGTATTTTTAGGGAGGTTTCTTGAAAAACTAAATGTTAGTATAAGATATTGATTAAACTGGTAAATATTTATCATATGCTTTAATAAAAGCAGGTTTCTTAAGCTGAGTCATACAACACAAGATTTTGTTTCTGATTCAAAGAAGTACAAATCTACAAATACATTTTGCGTTTGATGATACAATTGTCAGAAAGGTCATACTTACATATGAGGTAGAAATGTAGAGCCGTAGCGGGTCTGTTTTCATAATGACGGTGTGTGCCCATGTGTTTCATGTGCTAACTTTAGTTTTCTTTAAAGTTAGCATGCTTTTAATACTTTTTCGTGTCCTGTGACCTCAACTCTAGAAGGGCAGCTGAAACAAGAAATTAGGCTTACTAACTCATTGAACAGTATTCCATCATCTTGACGTTGTCCACGTCTTGCTCAGCGAAACAGGAGTCAAAGACATACTCTTGAAAATAACAGATCACCTTCTCTTCCCTTCTCGCTAAGCATCCTGCCCCCACCCCATCTTAACATTGTATTTTCATGAGCATTTCATGATATTGCTCATCCCTTGTCCCCAGTCTTGACCCACTGACCTAGGAACCAAGAAAATGTCATGTTAGTGCCTGCTAATTAGTGCACCCAGAGAGCCTTTTCTTCTGGCCTTTCAACCTTCTGGAGGTGGGAGTGCAAGCTGTCACAGGCATCATGCAGGGAAAATGAGCCTTTACTACATTTTCCTTGTTTTGCAAACAGCAGAATAGGGCCCAGCTGAGACTAGAGATGAATATGCAGGTTAGGAAGAAATTAACCTAAAATGCACTGCTCTTTGCCTGATTGTTGTATGGATGACAAAGCATGGCCATCATCATCATACCCGTAACGGAATGCTGGGGCCTGCCATTTCTCCCGGGCTCTTGCTGTTGTCACACACTTTATTTCGATACCATCATACTCATCTGGTGAAACAATTTTAAAGGAGGAATGTGCTCTGATTGGAAAGTTAAGGAGCCTGTGAATGCGTTTAAGTTTCTGTTGCTTTTAGACACGTTAAGGGGATACTTCAGTTTGTACTAACTAAAGCATTTGGCTTGAGTGCTCATTAATCAGTGCTGTTGGACCAGGGTCTCCTGAGCCATCTGGGTTTTAGGGGATCAGCTACTGTAATTAAAGGGATGAAATATATCATGGTCACAAACTTACCACATCAGACGTTTGAGGGTTTTGAACTGGTGGAATTAATCTTTTTAATTTTTTTTCCTTAGGTATTTAAGATAGAAGTGCTAATGAATGGAAGAAAACATTTTGTTGAAAAAAGGTACAGCGAATTTCATGCCTTGCACAAAAAGGTAACTTTTTTTTCCTTTTTCCTTTTATGGCAGATGCTATAAGGTTAAGACTGCTTTCTGTGTTTTCTGAGAGCATGAATAGTTCTTGGCACAATAGGATTTCTTTGATCATGGATTAAGTCTTCTTTTAAATTATTCAGTCCCCTGAAGGTGTGCTTTCTGAGGAGATGGGTTTTCTGTTAAGATCTTTTACATAAATAGATAGGAGGTTGCAAGCTCTTTGCAGGTGTGAGAGGCTCACACAGAATCAGACTCAGACCTGACTCTCTCCATAAAATAGACTTAACGTGCTTTACCAAAAGGAGAGGAAGAAGCAGATGATGATTTTACGGGGAGAAATTTATTAAAAGCAACTTACACTTACATGTTCCTGGAAAAGGTAACATGCGGCACATGTATTCATGGACTCTTTGGTGAACGGGTATAAGGAGAACATGTATAATTCTTTTAATTCTTTTGAATTGTAAAGGCCACTTGACAAGATGGGTGTTCGAGTTCTTGGATTCATTTCATTACAAGTCTTAGAGAAAAGACACAAGAATACAGAAGGAATAGCTGAGTTTGGGGAGAAATAGTAAAGAAGAGAAGAGTGAATATTTTTTTTTATTTTCTACCAAAATTTAATGTTTTGCAGGTTAGGAATTGTTGTTGGGGTGCTGACATTACCTGAATAACTAGACATAGCTTGTGAATATATATACAAGTGTATGTGTATATACACACATGCATGAATATATATATATGTACACATAACTGTATGCCCTAATTCATTTTCTTCACTTCTGTCACTTTATTAGGTAAGAAGTTAGATGGGAAGATACTAAGTAAATATATTAAGAAAGATAGTCTGTTCTTTTAATTTCATTAAAGACCTCTTAAATTTTCTGGGAACTGTTAGCGCCTAAATGGCAAGACAGTGTGCTTATTCTGTATTAAAAGTTCTTTGGTATTTCTTTAAAAATTAAACTTCCCCACTTTTTTTTTTAGTCAGGAGAATGAAATATTGAGTATAAACTTTAACAGGATATTATGGAGAAATTAGTGAAACTCTTTCCCTCTGTATACTTTTCTCTTACGATGGCAAGGAATAATATACATGTCATTCTTCAGTTAAAATTTTGTTAAATCCAGATTTGCTTCCAAAAGAAACAGTGCAGGTGGATATGGATTTAGACCAGATGTTGCTGTTAGCCTTTACAGAAGCTCCTACCCGGGGGTCTTAAAGAAGAACAAACCTGGAGTCTGGGTCTCGGTACCTTCTCGAGGGATTCTGTTTTTGCTTGCTTGTGTTTCAAGGAAACAGATTCTAGGGAGATTTCCGCGGGGTACTTCATGAAATAAATTCCTGCACTAAGATTAAAACCAGAAGTCCAACCCCTGCTCAGCCTTTCATGAGCCGAGGATGGACTAGGGGGCCTCTCACATGCAGGCTGCTTTCCTCACCTCCTAGCTCACCATGACCTCGACACAACCTTGCTGTCCCCACCAGATTCCCCAGGACCGGCTCCACACCAGGCACAGCAGGTGACTGCCAATTAGGCCCGCCCTGGACCAGAGGCTCCCATGCCTCTCACCCCTGCAGGGGCGTTTCTCCTGCTCTCTAATGTGACTTTATTTTTTCCCCAGTGATGATAGGCAGTTCTCAGATACTCAGAGTCAGAAAAAAGTCCTAGGTTTTCTTGAACTCTTCCCTCAAATTCTGCAGTTTCTGTTAATAATTTTAGTTATTCTGGGGCGCCTGGGTGGCTCAGTCGTTAAGCATCTGCCTCAGGTCATGATCCCGGGGTCCTGGGATCGAGCCCTGCATCTGGCTCCCTGCTCCGTGGGAAGCCTGCTTCTCCCTCTCCCACTCCCCCGGCTTGTGTTCCCTCTCCCACTGTGTCTCTCTCTGTCAAATAAATAAATAAAATATTTAAAAAAAATAATTTCAGCTATTCTTATAATCATATAATCAGGCCTACTAGAGTTGAAAGTAGAAATTGTCAAATTTCTCAGTTTTGCATGTTTAAAACATCCCGACAGGGACATGGAGAATAAAAATGGCTTCGTGAGGCAGAGTTGTAGTTATGTATTGACTTACTTCTACATTGTAGCACAGAAAGCAGCTCCCAGACGTCTCCTTTCCTTGCCCCAGTGCAATTGTATGTGATTTGGCTAAATGATGACTATAGAAGATAGTTAAATATAAATCATGGTAGGGTGTGAAAAAAGCAGAAGTCTGTCATCTTGACTGTAAAATTGTGTTAAGGATGGAAATCAGCAAAAAATTTACTGAGAATGCACGAGTTTTATTGATTGCTCCTGCGATGTTGTAGAACTTGACCGTTTTAAGACCATTTGGATACCCCCATTTCCATATTTGAATTTTGTGATGTGTTTTGAGTGTTATGTTTTTATGTAAATTTTCCTTTTACATTCAGTCAAATCTCTTACTTAATCTTCTTGAAATACTCACCTGTTTCGGCAGTCTGTGCCATTTGCCGTGTTGTCAGTGTCCTGGTTTTTCTGACATTTTACATTGTATTTCTTATTTGTTAAACGTGTTTGGCCAGTGTCCCCATGTTAATTCTAAAATGATACACATGAGTTCTTAACCAAGCGCTTTGCTTCTTTCAAACAATAGGTGCATAGCTCTTCTCCATAGTCTGCAGACAGACAAATACGCCTCCTTGCTTATTGTCAGGCTAATTTTGAGGCAGAAACTAAGACTGTTACCCATTTCACAGTTCTTCTGGTTGTCTAAGGAAAGTTCTTAACAATTATTACTTCTCCCCAATTTTTATAATTGTTGATATTAAAATGCAAAGATAATATCCCAATTGTTTACACATTTCTTAGAATTTCTATTTTTTGGGTTTTTTGGGGTTTTTTTTTTTGAAGATTTTTATTTTTTATTTATTTGACAGAGAGAGATAGCAAAAGCAGGAACACAAGCAAGGGAGTGGGAGAAGGAGAAGCAGGCTTCCCGCCAAGTAGGGAGCCCAATGCGGGGCTTGATCCCAGGACCCTGGGATCATGACCTGAGCTGAAGGCAGATGCTTAACGACTGAGCCACCCTTGTGCCCCAAATTTCTTTCTATATTTGGAAACAGTCAAGAGGTTTTTTGTTTTTTTCCCTTCCAATAAATTCCTGCTTTCCTCCTTTTCTTGAAATTGTTTAAAGATTTTATTTTTAAGTAATCTCTACACCGAACCTAGGGCTCGAAATTGCAACCCTGAAATTAAGAGTTGATTACTCCACCAACTGACCCAGCCAGATGCCCCTCTTTTCTTGAATTTTTTTAGTAAAGCAAATGCTTCTATGCTAACCATGTTCCTGCATGGTAGTAATTCTGGTGTAGAAGTTCTGTGTGTAGGCTTTAGAAGCAGAATGTTCCCGAGCCTGCCTTTACCCCTGCCTGGCTCTTAAGTCCTGGGAGCAAGTTACATGATCTTTCTGTGTCTCAGGTTCCCCATTTGTAGGACAGATATAATGACAGTAGTAACTTCATAGGATTATTTTATGAGCTAAATGAGATTGTGTGCATCACATGGTAAATTTCCAATTATTTTTTGAAGATATTTGAGAGAAAGCAAGAGTGAGAGCACAAGCAGGGGGAGCGGCAGAGGGAGAGGGAGAAGCAGGGTTCCCGTTGGGCAGGGAGCCTGGTGCGGGGCTCGATCCCAGGACCTGTAGATCATGACCTGAGCCGAAGGCGGACACTTAACCGACTGAGCCACCCAGGCTCCGTGGTAAATTTCCAATTATTGATCTAACCTTTTAGATCTATTCTTTTAGATCTAATTAGAGCTCATCTTTTCCGTACTCAAGATGGTTTCCTTACACTAAATTATAAAAAGAAGCATTCTCTATCAAAGGGTTTGGATGTTTTTACAGCCCCTGATGTATGTTGCCAAATTATGTTATGGTTATAGCAGATATAAAATGCAACCAGCACATTTGAAAGTATCACAAAATCTTAACAGGTTTGAATATTACCCCCCCCCCCCATTTTACATTTGTTTACTTAGTAACCAATGTATGTGGCCTTGTTGCTGTTTTCATTGGTGGGTCTTCACTTTGTTTAGGAGCTGTATTCCCTCTTTTGGAATTGTCTTTCTGCTACGGTCTCATTTGTTTTTGCCCATTAGTTTGCTTGGCCTGTTAATAAAATATTAGCCATTTGCCGAAAGTATTTTTCACACAGGACCTTTGGGCTATGATTCTTATTTTAATTTACAAAAGCTTTAAATTGGTATGTTATCTGTTAGGTCAGTTTCCCCTCTTTCAGATTTTGGGTCACACCAGTCATTTCTCCTAGAGCTATGAGGGGTATTTGATTCCGTTTTCTTTTAGCTTTTCCTGATGGGTGCATTTCCATAGTGTGCACTTTGGACCCCCAGAATCAGCACAGCGTTGACTGAAATGCAGATTCTGGGTGCTACCCAGCCATGCTGAAGCAGAATCTCTGTGATGGAGCCCAGTCATCTGCCTGTTCAACTAGCATCCCACATGATGAGGCATCCCAGTGCCTCTTGAAGTTTGACAGGTCCTTTTGTGTGCTTCTCTTTTTAGATGCATCTTTTCAACAACCCTCCCCACCCACCCTCTCTCCATCACAGGCACTGAAGCCACAAAGTTTGAAACCTTGAGGTGTCTCTCCTGCCTTTCTCTTACCTTCTGTATTCGCAGGGCCATCAAGTCCCATTGACTGATTCCTCAAAATTTCGATACTATGCACCGTTTAACTTACCCCTTTCTCCTCTGCCCTCCCTAGCCAGAGTCTTACTATTTTATAAGTATTGCTTTAACTGTTTCTGATCCTTGTCTTCTGATTCATACTTTGCTACATATCAGTTTCCCTAAAGCACCATTTCCTTCTTCATTCTTTTGCCCAAATACTTTGAAATGAGTCCATATTGTCAACCGTATCATGGACCTTGACCCTCAAGGCCAGTAATCTTAGACTCTCTATTAGTCTCCTTTTACTGGTAGGACCACAGACCTAGTGGCTTAAAGC